ATTACGTTTCCTTCCATCAACCTGTCTCTCATACCCAATCTTCGATCTACCTGCTCCGCCCAAACTTCTATCCAAGAAACTCTTATTTAACCAATTTCTCGATCGAATCAGATTTACGAGAAATTTGTTTTCCATCAAAGTATCTGAATCCCGTTCACGATGAATACGAGGCGCGCGGCATTCTCGCGGGAATGTATATTTAGAGTTAATATCCGGCGAACGTTCCGCAGCCCGAATATCACTCATTCTTCCAAGGGAAATATTGCACGCTGTCGCGCGATCCCGATGAAATTTCGTTTAACGCCGGCCATGAAAATTTCTCCCCGAAGAAGGTGTGTGCCGGGCGTACACATGAACGGCGTGCTGAACTTCAAGAGCAGAAACTTTCGCGTCTTTGTCCGGGTTCCATCAGCGAACGCCTGCCTGACGTTAGCGAAACACCGGGTCTCCGCGATGTTCGGCACGACGAGTATCAAAATATTTGCGCCTCCATCGAACCGAAATTTCATGATGGAACTTCGAAAATTCGTTGCTTACGCTCCGTCACACCGTTCCGGTTACTCACAATTCGAATATAAATCAACCACGTTGATTAATCCTTTGCACTCCTGCGTCGAGTATGACTCTACATCCGATTTATTCAAAAGTGCGCTTTTCTATGCTATTTTCTATTCTATTTTCTATTTTGATACACTTTAAAATTATATTATTATACAATTTTTAATTATATTAGTAAAAAGAAGAGACATGTTTCCAAAGACCTAAGCTAACTAATTTCTTTCGAAATAGATTTTAAATGAACCACTTAAGGCAATGTAAAATTATCGAAAAGGAAATGTAGAAGACACTCGGAGTGCAAAGGGTTAACAACCACATCTCACTTATCCCTTTCTACTCGAAACTCTACGTGAAACTTTCATTTACACTCAAAATTAATATTAACACTAAAACTACTAGTCAATTAGACCCATTTTAGAATGTTCAGTTTGCAAGAACGTAAATTCTGACAAAGCTTTTGAAATTTGTTAAATTTGTGTATTTGTATAGATACAACAATAAGGGTCCCATCGAATCTCGAGATATATATTGTTCTATTTTTTCTAAAACCTTAGAAATAAATCATTCCTATTGCTCGGTTGTTTTAGTGTTAATATCATACGTTTCTCTACAATTTTTGGTAATAGTTTTGATCAGACATTTGTGATAACTGAGACATCACATTCACGCAATTCAAAGTTCGTTCGATTCATTTATAAATCATTTTCTCTCGATGTATCGAGACAGATCATTTCTTTAACTCTTTGCGCTCGAGAGGTGACTCCCACTTATTTGATTTCATACAGTAAAACTATAAAATTTGACATTTAATATTATACCTCATATAATGCATCAATTTGAGAAATATTGAAATAAAATAGCTTTCCTCAATGTACGTGTGATTTCTCTGCAAGTCAGTTTAACAAAATATCTTCTCTGTCTCATCAGAAAATGTAAAAATATTTCCAAAGAAAAACTTGCGAGTGCAAAGGGTTAATATCATTTCGCTGCCACGTTAATTATTCCCATCGAAGTTACTTCTCTCGATATTCACGACTCGGTGGGTCGCTGGCAACAGAAACGTACGTTGCACGTAACGCTGGATCCTCCAGCTAGAGGAAGCGATTATACATCATTCGGAATAACGTTCACGTATCGCAGATTCACGCCGCGATCATTACTCAAGTCAGATATAAATGTTTCTCGCCCGCCTATCGAATCTCCTCGATACGTTCAAACGTTTCAATCTTGGGAACGTGTTTCCGCGGCAGCAAAAATACCATCGATCGAGACGCCTGGAAAAAAGCGAACGTACTTACGCGTCCCATTCGATTCTTCCGATTTCCTTTACCGAATCGGAGCCACTGCAACGCCACAATTTGTCTCTGTGTGAACACTTGCGAAACAGTTGCGTTCTTAACACGTCGAACGCGATTTCGTAGAGCAAAATACGCGAGATAGAAAAAAGTATAATATTAAATCGTTTGTTTATATACAAATGACATTCAACGCGCTAATTGCTTCAAACTTCGATATCCTTGTAAACATTTCTTTCTTACAATCTATCGCAAAGTTCGGCAAAGGAATATTCTAAGACCACTGGGAAACTTTTTTAATCACTTTCAGGATTTTCATAGACGTCTTTTATTAGAGTTTCTTACTCTTTTATCACTTCTTGTAGTACTGCTTCTTGACTTTTTATTATTCTTCTCGCCCTTTCAATATTATTCCTGCTTCGTTTCATTAAGCCCGGGAGTCTTCGGATAAAAATTCTATCCCCGAGGTGATGATATCCGCGAGACGCTGATTTTCGTTTGAAAACATCGCTGTTCCGCAATTTCGAGCAGATACTTCGAGTAATATTATTCTTTTACCATATTTACGTTCCAAAGTCGCTTTCACATATTTCAACCCCTTTGTTCTTCACCGTGATCCCATTCCCTTCATTCCCACTACATCGATCTTGTCCGCGTTTCTTTGCCTCCCTTGTCGCCCCGTTTCATCTCCATTCCTTAGTTCAACTACATTTAGACATTCCTCGATCTCCTCGCGAGAACATATTTTATACATTATTTTCTCTTACTTTCAATCTTCTCGGATTCTCAGATCCCTTATCTTTCCTCCGTTTAATTCCAGTATTCCAGCCCTCGTAATTTTGTATGCATTATTCCCCATAGACTTGTCGCTACGCCTACTTTTTATTTCTTCCCTTCAGACGCTGTAGAATTCTCTTCTTTCGTATTTCCACTTCACTTTAACACGTCGACGTCTATAGACGCCCAATGCTCGTCAGCCGCATTCCTCCAAGACCAACAAAGTCGTTGCTCGCGATGGACTAAACAATTACCACGCAAGTGTATTTCTGTCCGGGAAGAACCATCCTGACCCTTCCCAACTTCCCTTACAAATAGGAAGCAACAGCTGTAGACGCATCTGGTTCGTGCCGGGACACGAAATTCGACGCGTACGTTATTTCCTTGGGACCCAGCCATTAGTTGCAGTCACACTAGCTCGCTTCGCCCTTTCCTAGACGACACCCCCACTCTGCGAAAACTGTAAGGAGGAGGAAGGGCCCAGCTTTTTTGTTTCTGCAGTTTTTACTCGCTGCGATTGTCGATGTTAGCGATGTTGAGCTTTGTAGGCATTTGCACGTGGTGTGCCGACTTATAAACTTATACTTCTCGACCACCCGAATGATCGGGAACAAAACTTAGGAAATGAGTAGGTGCTAAGGTAGACTTGGTTCTTGTGGTGATTGTTACGTTTTAACCCCTTGCCCTACAACTACGAGTGAGACTCGTGATGAAGATTTTCACTATGATTCAACAAATATATGTATTACTCAGTTCATTTGAATTCAAAATGAATATTTTTCCTCTGTAATCAACTATTATACTTAAAAGGAAATATAGATATAGTGATCCCGGCTGAGCCGCCAATTTTATAATGGGGCTACTATTATTATAGATATTGAAAAGGTAGATCTTCAGATCTTCAGTAAAAAGAGAATTAGGAAACAATATGGACAACACGTAAAAATACAACTTAATACCACGAAGGCCAACACACGACTCTCTATCACGCACCAAAGATGTTCTTCTCCGCTGTCTCTCACCAAAATGTCCTTCTCGCACGCATTCCCACTCGCTTTTAACACACACCCCCATTCGCTCTATCTTCCTTACACTTGCACCCTTCTCACTCGCATCTTCCGTCCATAGTCAAAATTCACGCAGTCACGTACACGCTTTTCTCACGGCTCAGTCGCTGAATTCCGGACACTCTTCCTCGAATTCTTTCAGTCACTTAAGATTTTCCAAACGCAGTCACGCTATTTACCAAACATCGCGCCGGTCCGTCGCAACACGACCTGGTCGCCCGCACGCACGCACAATGAACCATTCATCCCACAATGTAGAAACATCTAGCACAACTACCTCGTAGCGACACGCAGCAGCTCGCCGCACGCAACGAATAGAGCACGGTATCGTATCGAAATCAACATTTGCACTTAGTTCCTCCCACCATAAGGGAAGTCCTTCGAATACACGGACAAGGTTCAGCCGTCACACAACGTGCATGTTACGAGAAGCTCGATCCATCGATCGACCACGAGCATCCTCGACAATAACAGAAAACAAAAATAATGCAGGGTATGCCGATGACGAGAATTTTTGGAGAGAGTCGCGTTGGAAGTGATCTGTACACTGCAAGCTATATCGTTTCTATTTATTTGTATCTTATTCGATTAACTGTTCCTGCAAGAAAATGTACAACGTGCGTATTATAATTTTGTGTATTTGAGTAGAGGGACTGCTCTGCGATGCTACGTTGTTTTTGAACGAACGACGAAAAAGAAAGGAAGGAGCAGTTGGCGATGAGCGCTTGTATGGAGACGAACTTCATGTTGACGAAATAAATTCTTACTGATCAAATAAATCCCTATATTCCTGTGCTTGTTTCAAAAATAAAACATAATTATTTTCATTAACTATCTCAAAATTCTCAATGTCTTATATCTCTTTCAGACATCGATAATCTCGTTGCATTACGTCTATTAGATCACTTCGAAACGTATCACTATACAGAACGATCAACGAACAAAATAAGTGTACACATCAGCATAAAATAGACAAAAACAAAATTCATCGCAGACCTCGCCAAATTTCTGAATTCATTTCCAGCGCGAATGGTAAATACCGCAACAGTGTTCCCGGAAACCAGGGGCGTACGGAGTGCCATGACCGACACACCTGCGAAACTTACTCCTTATTCCTCCCCGTCTGAAAGATCCTTTAACCGTTTGCGTGCTCCCAGTCGTCCGTCGTATTTCCTCCTCGCAACCCTTTCCGTGTCCCCCGTTCGGCCCTCCCCTCCCGCCGTCGATCCTCTCAGCCGTGTCCTCCCGTTCGCGACCCCCGCGCCGCCAACCCCCGGACGATACGAGAGCGCCGGCCCGAAAGCCTCGGCGGAGTCAAGCTCCGACACGGTTCAGCCGAGTTCAGTCGCGCCACTCGGCCGTGGTGTTCACGCGCCACCGCAAGCTCGCAAGCTTCGTCAAGCTTCTGCCGTTCGTCCCTGTACCGAGGGGAAAAAAAAGGGAGAGAATTAACGTACAGTTCGCTAAGGGATACACGGAGAGGAGGGAGGAAGAGAGGAGGGGAGGAGAGAGAGGGTGGACGGAGCTGTCGGATCGGTGCACGCGTTCGATGTCCCCGCACGGTGTGTCCAGCGACGATCGCAAGGTAGATCCATAGATCGTAAGGCGGTTAATACGGTGCTCGGCCTGTCTCGGCGACCGCGTGCCAGTGACCAGTGCTGCGTTCCGATTCGACGATCGATTCGCGCTCGCTTCCCTTGAATATCTCACGGATAAACGAACCCTCTTGTCTCGGGATCGTTTGTTATGGTCCCCCGAACCGATCGTTCGGGAGTACGTTGGTCGCCGTCGATCGACGGGTCGAACGGTTCTGTGAGTGTGCACTTTGACGAATTTTCGGGGGACTATTTAACCCGTTCGCCTGCGGTATCGCGTCAGGCTCGTGGTGGTTGAAAATTTAACAAACGCGAATGCCGTTTGAATCGTTTCAATGGAGATTACGCATTGTTCTGTTATCGATGATTACAGTTTAGAGTGGGGACGTAGAATAAGACTGAAATTTCCTGTCTGCGAGAACTATTTGAAATGCGGGTTTGTTATTCGAAACAGTAACGAGGTAGATTAGAGCTCGGAAAGAATCAGGGCAAGGGGTGAATGGTTTTTTAATCGAGTAGAATGATTGTGACAGCTGTGTGGATGTTCTGTAAATAATGTATTTTCGTATTGAATTTTCGATCGTGCTGTTCGGAAGGTTTCGAGATTTCATCGATGAACTTCGAAATGACCAATGGACTTGTTGAGAGTTGAATATCACGCGAGTCGTTTTATTATAACGTGTTTAACGGGTTCTTTCCCGTTTCGTCGCGACAGTGAATGGGAAAGTCGCCCCCCGGTCCAGGGAAAATTCAGTTTGCGAAAGTTCAACAGCGTCGGGGGTAATTAAACTCGATATCTTCGTTAACCGTCCCTCAAGTCATTCCCCGGCCGTTCAACGAAGATATCTGAAATTTCGAAATTTCTTCATCGCCGTCGTTGATTGAATTCCGTTTGCCAAAGTTGCGCGTCGCGATTTCCGCTCGGTTTAGGGTGCGCTCACACTGGCCGTCCTGACAGGTAACGTTTCGGTATAGACAGTTATTCATCAGTTATTCGCCAATTGTTATTCGTGTCCATAATCACATTTCTGCTGAGTTAACTGTGTATTTTAATACAACTGAGTCCACGAGCTGGTACACGCTGTAACACACTCTTAACACTAGAACTACCAGATAGGTCAAATTGACTTGTTCCTACGTTCTTTCCGAATTATTAAACAATTACTCAAGAAATTGATTCAGCAATGCCCAAACTGAATCATAAGTCAATTAAAATCTTAGTAGCCGTATTCTTAGAGTTCCTATAAACAAATTTTGAAATGTCGATTTGACTGCTCGGTTCTAGTGTTAAACACTCGTGTAGTCCTAGCCCAACCGCATCGAGTATCGGTATCGAAAATAAGATGGGAACAGATGACCGACCAATTAGATCTGGATTCCTTCTGCTAACTTTGTCTGAGACGAATAACACGGTTCAACATACGAGAGTTGATACAAAACTCCACGTATAAATATTCCCATCGTATTACCTGCAAGAATATTTGTCTCAACTGAATCATTGTCATTCACAAACATTCTCTTCTTGCATTGCTGATAAACGAAGAGAAAGAGACTCGTAATGTGAACATATATTGGGTCGATGCGAAAATTTTGACGTTTTCTGTATTGGTTAACATTAGGTTTATCATTTCTTATATACCCATCTGTTCACCTATGAACAAAATCACATTTCCTTTGAAAACGACATAATTATACACAATGATCTTGTAAATGAAACTATAAGATGTCCGGATAAAAATCAGTATAGGTAGCAGAAAATGTAAACGGTTTCCGCAATGTTCACGCTCGAAATGGGTCAAAAGCCGCTCGGTAAACCTAGTGTCACCAGAAAATTGTTGTTACTTGTTTCGAAGGAAATCTGAACGAGTTCAGAGGAAATCAACAGATCTATTGTCAAACTATTACAATAAATATAAAGGACACTTCCTTCTCCGTTGTTACTTCAGCCATCGAACAGCTGAAAACTTCTTTCTATTTCCTACAAGAGAACATGAAAACTTTTGCATCAACCCAGTAGATTACAAACAACCGAGGACCGTTCGATCGAAACGAGAGCTGATCGAGACCTGACCGACAGTTGTGTGACGAGCCTAAACGCGCCCTCGCGCGCACAAGGGGAACTTGAACGAGTATTGTGCAATTCGACGGTGCAGTTGCGGGAAACGGCGAGCAAATGGTCAGGAGAGGGTGGACGGATGAATTTCACCGACGGGCAACAATTCCATCAAAGTTGAACAAATCTGCCGGCCAGAAATGAACTTTCCCCGCGATGACATATTTTCCTCGCCCCGAGTCCCCGCCCCGCTTCCGGTTCGAGCATAATAACGCGCGAAATCGGCCGACTGATCATTTTGACGCGAGCTATTAACGAGACAATGGCATTGGTATTTTCAGTTGCCGAATCGATTGATCAGTTAATTATATCGCGACGCGAGTTCATGGTTGACGGCAGACGCTGCTGTGGTATCTTATTATCGTCGTCCTGGGAAGAGAGTCGTCCGAAATGAATATACTATTAGCGTTAATACGCGGTGAGTTATGAGGTTCGCTAATTTGACAGTGAAACGTGTTTATTCGTTCGTTGCTGCTTTTAGTATATCGTGGCTTCCTATTTAATCTTGTTGATCAGTCAACGATCACGATGTATCGTATTTTTCAGTTGATAGAAAACAAAACGAACACCAAAATCCATCAAAATCTGCTAATTATTAGAGAACCATCGCTAGTGAAAATATCTCAACTTTCTCTTTAACCCGTTAACTGTGGAATTAAATTTCGAAAGTCTGATAATGCTTGCAATGGAATCAAATAATGATGTACACTCGTTAAGCTCAGGAAAAATGTGCCTGTCGTATATTCTAACGAAAAGCTAAAGCAAAACGCAGAATTGCATGTTTACCCGAAAAACTAAACAATTTATCGTTGAAGGAATTAGTATCATTATGATTTTAACTGGTTAAAACGAAGTAATTCTCCAACACAAATTTTCCTTTGAATCCGAAGAATCTCATGTCTCCAACTCGCGACCTTCCCTCGTGAGAATAAAATGACCGTACACAATGTTTATTATATAATCGATCAATATTGATTCAGTCCGAGGACAATCCTAAGCGACAACAGAAGCTGCCTTTTCTTTCAAATATTAGTCAGCAAACAATGCAACACGCGAATTCGAATTTTCTGATGGCCAAATCGTCCTTAAAAGTGACGCCTGCACATCGAGAATCAGTCTCGTGAATCGAATAACCGTATTCAATTCGATTCCACATGCATGGAAAGTATCGGTGTCGTTAGCACGTTAAGTGTCACGAGAATCATGAAAGTTTTATACATGATTCGTTCCTTCGTAGCAAAAGTAACTAGGAACAATTATTAATTTTTGCATCAGAATTCTTACGTTACGCTATTGTCCACTTATTTATGTTATTCGATACTTTCAATCGACAGCAGTCATCTTGCATATTATAATATCTGTCAAGCAAGTCAGAAGCTTGATCATCGAGCTTGTCATCGATGACCGACACGGCGTTCAACCTGTTAACACTAAAAGTCACTCATTCCCGATTTCTTTGTTAAAAAGATGACGCTTCTCTGAAAAACGACAAAACAATTCGATCTAGCAATACGCAAATTGAATTGTAAATCAATCAAAGTCTCAGTAGATGCGTTCTTCGAGTTCCTACAGAGGAATTCTAAAAAGTCAATTCAGTTGGTCGGTAGTTCTCCCGTTGATTTTAATTTCTCGTTATAACGCCGAAGAAGCCGCAATCGTAACAATGGTATAATAGAGATTCCCCGGCACGTAATGGCCGTTCGCAGTACAGCACGGGATTGTTGTTTAGCAAGTTTATAATTAATTCGCCGGGAGGCAGAGGGTTTACGATTCGAACGGCCGCGAGACGCGTAATAACCGCGGCCGGTCGATCGCTCGCAGATCGAGCGAATTAATGCCGCCGTTCTTCCAGTTACCCGGTCGTGTCTCGATGTATAAATATTTTTAAGGCCCCGATAAAACGCGACCGCGCGGCTCCTTCGTTTTTGCCCAGTTAATGGGATTTATCGTCGTTCTATGGGTCGCGGGGAGAGACCGTTAATCCAGAACCGATGACACGGTGCCGCGATGAGATCACTGCGGCCGTCATTTTGGTCTACTCGAAAGAATTGTCTCGTAGTTTATGGTCACCGATAAGCCGGGCGAACGCCGCCGAAGGAGAGTTCGCTTTGATCGATATCGGGCCTCGAGAAATTGAAGTGGTAGCTTGGAAATGTTCGTTCTTATACTTTTCTATTATTCGGATCTCGCGAGGAATTAACCCTTTGCGCTCGAGAGTTTTTCGCTGGAAATATTCCATGTTTTCGAATGAGATAGGAACGATATTTTGGAAACTTACTTAAAGAGAAATTATACATAAAGAGAACAAAGCTGTTTCATTTCAATATTCCACGTGGTGATGCATTATAGAAAGATTAATTTAAATAAGATTAAAGTTAAATATCAAACTTTACAATTTTATATTGAATTAAGTGGTGACTGGGAGTCACCAGCCGAGTGCAAAGGGTTAATGTATTCGGAGGCAAATTAATTTGTGGAATAAAGATCTCCTTCGACTTAGGCAGGCTGCATTTGAATTTCATTCGAGAAAATAAGTTTCTTTTTTGTGTCTGTTCTATCTGTGCCACCTTTCAAAAGTATTTCATGGTCCTCGGATAATTTTACCGACTAACTTTGAATAACTACAAAGTATCTCTTTCGAACATCTTCATACAACTCTCCTATCTTCCGTTATTCATAATTTTCACTGAGGTAACTTATATCACATAGAAAAACTCAGATATCATATTCTCCTGTAATATATCTTAAATAGATAATCAATTCGAATTAAATTTCATATTTTCTCAATGCTGCGGTAATTAGCGAAGTTGCACAGCTAAGTGTCTTTATATAAAAACGAGATTTCTCGTCACCGGTACGCAACGTAACGATCATTGA